CGCGAAGCCTGAACCCTTGGAGCCGGCGCTGGTCCCACACCGCCCCACCTCTCAGTGCCCTGAGCTGAAAGGAGGCGGCCGGAGGACGCCCCATCCCCGTGCGCCCCCTACACAAGCAAACGGCATGCGAGGCCCAGAAGTGACCCTCCTGCTTTTCTCTTCGTGAAACACCAGGGTGAAAGGGCTTGGCCGCTTTCAGAGCTGGGCAGGAGGCCGCGGGGTTGTTCGGGCGGAGGGAAGAGCCCGGCCACCGGGCGCAGCGCGAGGCCTGTCGGCCGCAGCGGAGCCCCCTGCCCTGTCCGGCTCTGGCAGCCAGAATTTCGTGGAATCGCACGTTGTGCGGACGCTGCAAGGGGGACAGTCGCTGAACCAGGGTCCCTAGGGGCCGTCGGTGGGCCCGGGAGTTTCGGGGCGCTGACCGTCAGGGTCAGAGTCTTCTCATTGCGCTGACCCCGTCCCTTCCGGGTCCTGAAACCCGGGATGGGTTTGGGCCCAGCGTTCCCTGCACACCCTGCAGCGGCGCGCTCCAAAGGCCCACCCCTCCCGGAGTCCGAGCCCTCGGGCTTTCCAGAGGGATGATCTACCTGGGGCGGGGGGGGGGGCTCGGGGGCGTGCCCGCAAATGGGGGTCCTGCGGGATCTCTTGGCCTGTGCCCAAGGCGGTAGAGTTACAGGGGTAGGAGGCTGCGGGACGACGCGGCAGCAGCAGGAGGACACAGGGACCAGGGCAGCTACGAGCAGATATTTTCCTTCTTGGTGCCATCATTTCGTCCCTGGGCCCGGAGGAGCCTGCTGATCCCCTCCTGTCTTCCAGACCCTGGCCAGGTACCTACTCCCTTCCCCACCCTAGTCTGGCCGGGCTTTCGATCCCCGCTGCGTGCAGCAGTTGCTCCTGACCTTTTCCGAGGACCCTTGGAAGGTCCGAAGTTCGAGGGCATTGGAGGTTGCGGGCATTCTCTCGGTGGGCTGGGCAGTGCGCGCGCACAAATCCGGGCTCGGCCTGTCCCTGCCAAATATACAGCGTGGCTGAGGCTATCAGGGACGCATCTCGGAAAACGCGACGCTGCGCGGGAGGAGCTGCACTTCCCGCTCGTGCTGCAATCCAGGTCCCCCGTTTCCAGCAGTGAGTGCGCGGTGTCCAAACCCTGCGCCCCGGCCCACTTCGCGCCTGGAATCCCTCACAGCGGTGCCGTGGTCGGCGCCGAGAGGCTCGCAGCGAGTCGGGGGCTGCGGCCGTCCCTGCCACGGCTTCCGCAGGCCTCGCGCCCGAGTGCGCCCCAGCACCTCCCAGGCTTCGGGAGGATTTAACGCTTGTCCCACCCCTCCGTTTATGGACTCCGGAGAATTCCTCCCCACCTTGAGAGGGATTACCCAGATCGCAGAAACATGTCTAAGTGGAGAGAGCTACCTAGTAGTGAGAACGGAAACTTTTCTCAAACGAAATTTCCCAGATTTTACAGGAAAGCGCGCCTGAGCCCTCACTATCCGGTTTTCAACGCGCTGCCGCTGTTCTGGCGTTTGCAGGACAGGCAGTGGGTGTTGAAGGCCCTGGGACAGTAGGTGTGGGGCGCAGCAGGTAGCAAACTGACCCCTTCCCCTAACAGCGCCCCCCCCACAAGACTAGGGCCTGGCTTCCCCAGGGGTGCCACCGGAAGTGCCACCAGTGCCCCAGGTTTTTCCAGGTAAGAAGGATACTGATGCCTGTGTGACTACAGAGACAAAACCTCACCTCTGGGTGAGGCCGCCCCTGGACCTCTCCTATCCGAGTCAGAGCCCCGGGGCCACTACAGAGAAGACACCACTGGCGTGGGAGACAGGAGAAAGTCAGAAGCCGTTAAAATTGGAAAAGCACTGACCGAGCGTTCACTGGAGCGACCTGGGACACTGGCAGTGACCTCGGGTTGGGACGGCTTTGAGTCCCTAGTTCCTGGTGTGGAAAGGAGACATACAGATGTATGCCGAATGCTTGGGCCAAAGCTAAGCACCAGTCCGGGTCTTAAGCCAAGGACACCTGCGCCCAGCTACAGGAGAAAGAGGGGTGCTGCACACTGCAGGGAGCCACAGTGACCACCACCCCAATCTTTGTGTGCTCGGTCACACCCCAAGTACCCCACCTCTTAAAAACTTTCCATTAGGAAACTGATCTGGAGGAAATTCAGCCCCAAGAGGAAAGAAAGGGGTGGGTGCAGAGGGACGCCACATCTGTTTGGGTTTTCTACCTCAGGTGCTGCTCCCTGACTATTCTTCCCCAGGTGGTGCCCTTCTACCTGAGGCCCATCCCCAGAAGAAGGAAATCAAGGTGCCCCACTCCCACGGGCTCGGAGGGGCTGTGGGTAGCTGAAGGACCTCACACACCCAGTCACGGAGCATGTGGAGGAGGGGAGGATCCCTCAATCCCCGAGGGTCTGCAGTTCCAGCAAACTTCAGCCTGAGTGAGCGAGCGAGCAGAACCAAGCATATCAGAGACTGCTGCTCACCTGGGCAACTGGTACCATGTGGTTTCCCAGAAACCTGCGTTCGCTCCCAGTTCATAGATAAGACTTTTGCGGCTGGGAGTCTTTTCTGTCTTCTGAGATATGGAAAGAAGACCTCCAGTTTGCACTCCTTTTGGTGTGTAAGCCTGTGAGATGTCCTCAGCTTTCCCAGGGGTCATTACTACTCCCAGAAAGGACCAGAGAACAATCTCAAATCACCGTCCCACCTCGGCCCCTTGGTTTTGTTTTTAACACTGTTGCTTCTTTCCTGGCACGTTACTTCTTTGAAGAAAGTTTGTATTTTTAAATTGGAGCTTGCCTGATTATCGCATGACATTGCCTTCCTGGGTCCAGGAACCCATCCCAGCAGAGTCTGGAGTTAGAGCCAGGGTGGTAACCCCCATCAAATGGAAGAGGGGGCAGCCTCCCAGAACTGGGGATCCCCCTCCCCATGCCTCCTGGAAGGGTGCCCCACGGTCTTCCCCCTGGGACTTGGTTGTTGGGGGTCCAGGGAGCAGCAGATGCTTTTAGTGATGGCAATAGTTGCTACCTACTTCTCACCCTCTCTCAAGGCCTTGCATTTAGGGGAACGAAAACCGTTTGTGTCACTGGTAATTAATTGCAGCGATTAGCAAAGTTCCTGAGAGGGGACCACGGGGAGCCACAGAAGCTGCACTTTGTTTCGTTTCCTTTCAGTAAATGGTGGCCACGGGATTGTTTCGATTTTACACGGGAGGGCTTCCTTCCCGTCCTAAGCCTGGCCGCTCTCTCGCCCGTTTCGGAGATGAGGCCAGGCCTTCAGAAAGCTGCTGGGGCTCCAGGCGGGAGTCTCCCGTGCACAGGCTGCGGGGACCCCTACCCCACTTTCTCCCCAGCCCTCTGCGCCGGTGCGCCTTACGATCCCGGATCGGGGCGATGCCGTCCATCGGCTTCCGTTCGAAACCCTCCTTCCTTCTGGAAATGCTCCCCACGGCTTCCGGGGAGCCAGAGTCGCGTGTGGAGGCGCGGGGCTGGAGAAGTCCGAGCGTGGTGCCTACCGAAATTCCTCAGCGGCTACATCAGTCACTCCCGCAGCCCCGCAAATCTGCAAACGGATCAGCTCGTTAATGACGTCGCCGGAGTCCTTCAGAAAACGCCAGCCCCCCAAATTCCGTGTAAGAACCGGAGCAAAACCCATCCACCCGAACTGAGTATTTCTGGGCTTCAAAGGCAACGCGACCGCGATGAGCTTAACTCCCCCAGCAGATGACGGTGTGAGCTTAACAAGGGGCTGAGCACGACTCGGGACCCTGACTCGTTTCGTTTGATCTAGGGGAGCTATTTGCAAAGTAAAAATGCCCCCCTGTTCTAAACAAATCTGTAGGCACAGGCACGCTGATTTATTCCAGGTTGAAGTGGAGAAAGTGACCGAGCGCCGTGCCCGGGTGCGCTCATCTTTCCGCTTGGCGCGGGCTCCCAATTTTATTTTTCTCTTTTCTCGTCCAGGGCAGTGCGGAAGGTGGGCTTCCGGGCGGGGTGAGCCTAGGCGGGAAGGAGCTTGTCCCTCCCTCCGGGGAAGAGAAGGGTGGAGCCGAAGCTCGCACTGCGGGGTGCGCACGAGCCGGACCGAGGTCCCGGGACAGCGGAGCCAGATAGGCGCCCGGGGGTCGAGGCCGCACTCGGGCTTCAGGAGGGTCGGGCTTCGGGAGGGTCGGGTTCCCATCCCCAGAGGTCTCGTGATTTCCGCGCAAGGGGCTCGGGAAGGGATTCTCTGGGAAGAACTCGGGTGTCCCACC